GGCCCTGAGAGGAGCTCAGGCTCTGGTCCAGCTCCTCCCCTGAGCCCGATAGGCTTCACCCCAGCCCCTCCCAGGACGGGGTCCCAGCCCAGCCCTGCCCTGCAGCCCCCATCACCTCCCTCTGTGGGCACCCGGAGCCCGAGCCTTACCTGTCACGTGTACAAAGAGCTTGTGGTGAACATAGTTCCATTTCACTGTTCCTCGCTCCACCCGAGAAAAGTATAACTGCTGGTCCCTCCTTGTGGCGTCTCTGATGCTCAGGGAGCAGTTGTTCCTCCCGGGATCCCCGAGGAGGTGGAATCGGCCCTGGGTCTCCCCCTGCACTTTCCTAGCTGGGTCGTTTGTGGCCACTGGAGCCTCCTGGTGTGATTTGGGCCCTTCCCGGAACCAGCAGCCATGAACAGGGTCAGAGTGGTTCCAGCCGTCCCGGGGGTAGGAGAAGGAGCAGGGCACGTGGACGCACAGCCCCTCCTGCACCGTCACCACACTCTGCACTCGCAGCGTGTAACCTTCCCCGTACCCTCCCTGTCCCTGCACCCCCGCCCTCCCCCAGAGCAGGGCCAGCAGCAGCAGCAGCATGTCCGGGCGCAGGTCCCAGGGCCCGCTGGGGAAAGGCTGTTCCTCGACGTTCTTCTCTCGGGAACTGAGAGCTGCAGGACTTGGAGGAGGCCCCACAGGAAGACGGGGGCGAGGTCAGAGCCGTGACCCTCCTCAGAGGAGGAACTTCACACCCTGACACTGTCAGGGCCTGGGCAGCCCTTGGAGATCGACCGTCACCACCCACCTCCACTCCTGGGACCTTGCAGCCAGAGAGGGCGAGAGTCACCCAAGTTCCCACCCCGCGTGGGGCCCAACCACATCTCCTGCCTCCCTGTCAACACCCTTCCCCTCGGGGGACATTTTCTGGAAGGTGACAATGGCTCCTGTAGGGGCCGTCCCTGGGCAAAAATTGGCTTAAGCCCAGAGTCAGCGAAACTGGGTGTGCTCTCCTTGGCGCCAGAGGTCAATAGGCCCCAGCAGGGCCTGTTGGCCAAACAGAACTATTCCTCATGACAGGTAGCCAAGCGCCTGGGGTCTTGCAAACAAGCCAAGGCACCTCATTGTCCTGCATACGGTAATGAGATAAAGAAGCTAAGATGCAAGAAGTTTAAGATGCAAACGTCTGCTTCCCTTAAGCAATCATCTGGAAGGAATGAAAATGTGTTTTCCTCAGGGCGCCCAAGGTAGTCACGTACCAGGAAGTAGCTGCCGGACATAGAAAAAGTATAAGAATAAAGCGACTGGTACAAATCGGGTACTGCAGTCTTACACATCTTGTGTGTGTGTCTGTGTGTTTCTTTCTGTGTCCATCCCCCGTTCTGCAATCCGGGCTGCGACAACTGGCGCAGCGAGCAGGGTCTGTGTCCTTCAGGACGGAGGGACCGAAGAGGCACCCCTTTGGCAACAGGTAAGCGGCAACCAACAGGGGACTCTCGGGAAAATATGGGGAATTCCCCCTCAGCAGCAGAGCGCAAATATCAAAAGTTAATTCCAGGACTTTTAAGCTCTGTGGGAGTAGAAGTGAAAGAAAGTACCTTAAGACAATTATTCATGCTAGTACAACAACATTGTTATTGGTTTCAATGTCAGTCACAGGTGCAGTTAAATTGCCATAGTTGGCAACAAGTTATTAAAGCTTTTCGCCATGCCCATCAGCAAGGCGAAACTATTGATTTAAAGATTTGGACCGTCTGCAATGCGATAACTCAGGCTTTACGCTTGCTGCAGACAGACTCAGAAAAGGCTTATGCAGGTGAAGAATCCGAAAAGGAACCCTTGCCATCTCGTGCCCCGTCCCCTGACGAATTGAGAGAGGAGGGAGAGCCAGAGCCACCAGATGGGGACTCTGACCCTTCGGGTGAGCTGCCTACTCAGGCAGAAATACAAGAATTAATTTCCTTGCTTAAAAGGAATAAGATGGCCGCCAGTCCTCCGCCTCCGCCCTTCGTTTCAGCTTATCCAGTCCGTCCCTCGGCCCCTCCGAAACCAGGGGAACAAGCTTTTCAAATTCCTTTTGCACAACAACAA